GAGGTTCATACTTAAGAACTTGCAACAGTCTGATAAATGCAGGTACGGCTGTCAGGACTCCGAAACAATACAGCACGTAACTGGTGGATGCCAAGCATTCGCTCCAACGGACTATAAGGAGCGCCACGACATAGCTGCCAAAATCATTCACCAGGAGTTGGCATACAAATTCAAACTGATCGAATGCAAGCTACAGTACTACAAATATACACCGCAATGTGTCCTCGAGAACGACAAGTATAAACTATACTGGGATCGCACTGTGCTTACGGACCAATACATAAAACAAAACAGACCTGACATAATCATTGTCGACAAGGACGCCCAGAAAGTAACACTGATTGATGTGGCCATACCTAATAGTAACAATTTAACATACAAACATAATGAGAAAGTTGCAAAATACAGGGAGCTAGAATTTCAAATTAAACGCCAGTGGAAAATGAAGTACGTGGAAACAATACCAATAATAATGTCATCTACAGGGGTGATACCAAGAAGGCTGCTAGAAAACATCAAAGCGCTGGAACTGAGTGAAAACATTTACAAAATCATACAGAAAGGAGTTTTGCTGGCAACTGCCCGCATAGTAAGAAAATTTATGGGAAATGCAAGTACCTAGGGAGGTCACTATTGAGGCTTACCCCTTTGATGCTTGAAGCGTCCGGGTTAAGCCAGAACACCCCGATTAACGGGAGTAACAAAGCCCTACGGCTATAAAAATAATAATAATAATATTTATTTACTCTAAAATACAGGGAACATGAAACGATTAAATAAATATAATATATCCATAGGAGGACAACGCCTGTGCATGGATCATATGTATGTTGAATTGCAAAATATAATAAAATAGAGAGAAAAAAGAAATTATTGGTAAGAATGGTAGAGCATTTATTGTGTAATATTTGAGATTATTTTATTAATTTGATTTCTCCCAATCGTGTTAATAAATTTTTTTAATTTTTTTTTGAAGCCTAATGTATTGCGTAATTGTTTTAAATTATTTGGTAAATGTTCGTACAATTTTGGAGCTATATACAGGTGACATCGTTTCCTTACGGATTTGTTTGGTTTAGGAACATTTTTTGCGCGTAATTTATATCTGGTTTTATGATTATGTTTAATTATGTCGTGTTCACTAATAGTTTTGTGATAATGAGTGATGGTATGTAAGAAGTAAAGTTGTTTAGTATCCTATACTTGTGCATCATTATATAAGTCATTAGTTGGGTATAATTTTGATTTGCCTAACATTGATTTTAAAATTCTTCTTTGAAGTACATCTAAATCGTTAAAGTATGTCGTGCATGCAGCACCCCACACTACTATACCATATGTTATGTGTGGCTCGACTAAAGCTTGATATATTATTCGTAGATTATATTCAGTTAATATACCGGTTAGAAATTTTATTTTATATGCTATGAATCTAATTTTCTTTAGTATGTGAGAAATATGTACATCCCATCTCAAGTGGGGATCTAGATAAATTCCTAAATATTTTGTATCATTAACTCTATTGATTTTTATATTTTTATCATTTACCTTAAACCGAAGGTGGTTATATTTTGGTAGATGATTAGATAGTGATGAAAATGGTAAAAAATGAGTTTTAGTAAAGTTAATTGTTAATTTTCGGTTATTAAACCACTGAATAATTTTGCAAAAGTCATTTTGGATAATATCTTTTAAGTCGTTCCAATCCTTACCTTTATAGAGTATAGCAGTATCGTCTGCAAAACTGACTATTTTACCAGTACTGTTAATTTTGAATATATCGTTTAAATAAATATTGAATAACAGAGGACCCAAAATTGTACCTTGTGGAACACCACATTTAACAAACATTTCTTTACTATACGAGCTTAATAAATTTGATAAATAATTTTCCATTAAAGTATACATCTTTCCACGAAAACCTATTCTTTCTAAGATTTCCAAAAGTATATTGTGGTTAACTGTGTCAAACGCTTTTTGTAAGTCCACAAATACGCATATCGATGGTACTTTTCCATCTATATTTTGGGTTATTTCATCTACTATACTTAATACCCCATCTGTTGTAGAAACCATATTAATTTGAATTTAGAATTTTGAATTTATTAAGAAAATTAATCATTTTATTAAGGAGTAATTTCTCAAAAACTTTAGCTAAACTTGATATAAGTGAAATAGGTCGATAGTTAGTGACGTCCGTATTATCATTAGATTTATAGATAGGTATGATGATTGCTGTCTTGAAAGCTGATGGAAATACTCCAGATTGGAAGGATTTGTTAATGATATAAGCAAGTGGTTCTGTTATTTGTTTGGCCAGTATCTTTAGATGTTCAGCTCTAATTTCGTCAACTCCAGGGCTTTTTTTATTTTTTAGAGTCATAATGGTATTGAAAACACCCTGATAGTCTACTTCAGTTAATACAAATGAATTATTCAGTCTTGTTTCATGCAGATGAATATCAGCATTTTGTTTGATATTATTTGCTAAGTTTCCTCCTATATTCGTGAAAAATTCTATGAACTCATCACATATTTGCTGAATATTGTCTGTTTTCTGTCCTGTTTTTGTTTTTATTTCATTAATATTGTTTTTTGAATAGGATGACTTATTGAATATATCATTGACAGTGGACCATAGGTGTCTAGAGTCATGTGAATTATTATTCAATTGTTTTATATAGTATTTTTTTTTGCTTTTCTCAAAAGTTCTATAAATTTGTTTTTATATTGATTATAATGATCTATATTTTCTTTCGTGGGTAAATATTTCATGATTTTATACAGTCTTTCTTTTTCGTTTGCAGATTTTATTAGTCCTTTGGTCATCCAATCATTTCTGCTTTTTTCCTTGTGACTTATTTTAACCTTATTAGTACTAACTTCAATTACTTTTTGAATTTTGTGTATTAATAAATTTGTAGCTTCGTCTAAAGAATTTGTTAAAAAAATTTCGTCCCACGATTCCGTTTGTGCGTTAAATATTAATTTTGAGTTGTCAGTGAAATATTTGTATTCAAGGTTTCTTTCATTTTTTGCCCTTGGGCAGTTCTGGTTTTTATTTTCTGAAGATATCAATAATACAGTGGAATAATGATCTGTAATATCGGTTTCATAGATAATAGGTATGTAAGAAAAAATATTGGAAATATCCTTTATAAAGCAGTGATCAAGGCAGGTTTTACTGGTGGGTCGTGTTACTTTATTTATGTATGATAAAAAACCATTACTTGATAAAATGTTTAAATATTCTTTCACCATAGAATTTTCCTCTAAAATGTTTATATTGATGTCGCCTATAAACATTTGATTATGAAGGTGATTGTTTTCATTGTTTTTTAATAGTTCATCTATGTCTCTTATAAATGTATGAGGATCTGAAGATGGTGGTCGGTAAACACAAGTAATTTTGACTCTACGATTTTCAATTTGCATTGTTAGATTGATACCTTTTAGTTCATTGTTGATTGTAAATATGGTATGGTTATAAGGCAGATTGTTTCGTACATATACCATCACTCCATCGTTTTGATTATGGTTACCAAAATTATACAATGTATCGTACCCTTCTAAATGAAACAGAGTCGCATCGCCCACTTGCCATGTTTCGGATAGAATGATTATATCTATATCACTTTGTATTCTTTTCAAAATTAATTTAAAGTAGTCAAAGTTATGTTTTATACTTCTGATGTTCATATGATAAATTTTAACAGATATTTCAGGATTTTGTAAAAAAGAATCTAGCTCGATAGTATCATGAGCAGTATTAGTACTAATACGTTGAATTTGGAAGTTATTTACATAGTCATAGTCGTGTGTCATAAATGATGCAATATTCTAAAATTTTGCCTAAAATATCTTCTTTCTTAAAAAAGGATTTTCAAGTTGTACTGCTGTTGATAATATAGAAAAGTTGGACATTTTTTATCTAATGGTGAGTGGTTGGTACTATAATTTTTGTTATATCTATATATGAAAATTTGCAATTACAACATACAACCGGTTCATGCTTACAACAGTCAGTATCGTGTACATCCTCTTTGCTGCAGTTGGTACAGGTCTTGTTATTGCGGCATTTTTTCTCGGTGTGATTGAAGCGAAGACACTTCTTGCATTGCGTTATTTCGTTATTATCATACACTGGTAAACATTGCCATCCAAGAAGAATTTTTCCATTGTTATCTTCAAATATTGTCCTGAATAATTTGCCAGAAATGTCTGCAAATAATGTGTAACATTTTTTCGATGGGAGATACTTTACATATTTGATTTTGATGTCATCTTTTTCAATAAAATGATTTTGTTGGATAAGATCTAATTCTATGTCTTCTTCATGTGGTTTCTCCGTGCATCTATAATTGACAATATTGATCTTCGGTCTAAACATTGTAGGTTCTGTGATTTTGTATTCATCTCCTAATTTCTTTTCGAATGCAGTTTTGAGTGTGTTGTGGTGTTCCTCAGCCAGTTTAATTATAATTCCTCCATTTTTAGAATTTCGTATATTTTCTATTTGTATTTTCAAATCCGCAAGGCTAATTTTTTTGTTAAGGTCTTTTCTCGTTTGTTCAGATGTTTGGATACCATTTGGTGTGACAATTATGTTCTTCATTGGGTCTTTCTTGATTGTTGGAGTATCTCGCTTTAGTACTTGGGCATATGATTTCTCTTTAATTTTCTCAATTTCAGTCAATCTTTGATTTATTTTATTTATCACTGTTTCAACGGTACCTTTTTCGTGTATGGCTGATGTCGCTAAATTGTACTGTTCTTGTAGTCTTCCATTTTCATTGCTCAACTGTAGTATTAGTTTATCCTTTTCTTCTAATATCTGTTTTAAGTGTTTATTTTCTTCTAGAATCTTCTGAGTGTCCAAGTTTCCATCAATGTAAACTTCCATTGTATCTGATTTTTCCGTTGAGATCTGGTTTTTAACTTTTTTCTTCGGCATCATGCATATATATCAACTCAGCAGCAGCAACACTCAGTATAGCGTGAAGCCACAGTTGAAATATTACTTTTATTGGTCCTGAAGTTGACACAGCTTGACAGTTTCCTTTGGTAGTAAATTTAAAATGGCTGAAAATGGTGCAGATTGTGCTGTTCGTCTCACCAATATTTCCAGGGATGTGTTACTGTCTTATATACGTTTGCCGCCCAGCGATATTAATTAAAATGATCTAGTTTTTTGAAACTTCTCGTGATAAAGGTGAGTTCTTTAACTAGTATTTTTAGTAGACTTATACTTATACATTAAAGGTAGGTATTTAAAATATTTTTAAGTTTGTGTCTTTATCAAGAAATTTTGCTAGATATGAAAAAATTACTCGCATATTTAAGTTCAAAAACATTTAAACCTCACGTATGACACGATTATATTTTCAAGCTTATTTCTGCAAAATTATTTTTGAACATTTTTATTTTTCACTTTAGAATGACTACGAAATATGGACAAATTTATAATCAGGAAAAAACAAGAACCTGTTACTTGTCCATGTCCACATTCACCACAAGCAAGCACTAGCAACGTTGATGCAAAAGAACAAGATGAAGCACATGACTCTGACTCAGCTTCTGAATATAAAGGCGCATGGGAGAAACATGAAGATTTGGGAAAATGGATCAAGCCGAGCTCTCATGGTATTCATCATTTTAATTGTAAAATATGCAATAAAGAGGTGGTGTAGCTGCTGCCAAAAAACATAGTCTATCAAAAAAACATATCGACAAAATGAACGCAATGCGTAGCCAATCTATTTTGTCAAAAAAAGTATTTTCTGTTCCGTCTGATAAAATAATTAAACAAAATGAGATTAGAATTGCATCATTTATTGCGGAGCATAATATTGCTATTAACGTTTCTGATCATTTGACTGAACTTATCAAATCTATTTGTTTATCTGGTATGGAGCCTTGCCAAGTTTCAAAAATGTCTTGTGACAGAACAAAATGTACAGCAACTATTAATAATGTTATAGGAAAGACAAGCTTTGAACACCTTATTTCAGAGTTAAAAGTTAAAAAATTTTCTTGGATGGTTGATGAATCGACAGATATTTCCTCAGAAAAAGATTTAGCCCTAGTAGTTCGATACAATAATAATTTCAAGATAAAAGATGAATTTCTTGGACTCGTATTAGTCGAGACAGCAACTGCACAAAATCTATGTAATGTTATAGTAATTTTTTTGTAGAAAATAATATTCCTTTTAAAAATAATTTAGTCGGATTTGCAGCTGATGGGGCAAATACAATGATCGGGGCGCATAATTCACTAAAAACACTTTTAGTTAGTGACAACCCTGATCTTTATACCATGAAATGTATTTGTCATTCTTTAGCATTATGTGCTTCTTTTGCATGTGAAAAATTGCCAGATGATCCAGAGAAGCTAGTTAGAAATATTTATTCATATATGCATCCCAGTTATAAAAGGCAATCAGAATTGCGTAAATTTCAATCATTTTTTAATATAAAACCTCATAAGCTGTTGCATGCTTCACAAACAAGATGGCTGCCATTGATTTCCGCTGTTTCTAGAATCCTTGAACAGTATGATGCTCTTTAGCATTACTTTAGTGTCGAAGCATTCGATAAAGTATCAGGAGCAGACGAAATCAATAGTATGCTAAACAATCCATTAAATAAAATATACCTTCTCTTTCTTGAATATATATTACCAACTTTTACGAATTTAAATTTAGAATTCGAGTCAGAAAAACCAAAAATATGTAACATTTACCCCCAAATGTTGAGCGCCTGTAAATGTTTATTAAGTTGTTTCCTAAAACCAGACTACTTAATTAATAAAGATTTATAATATACATATTCAATATCATAATCCGGAAAATTTTCTTTCAATTGATGAAATTTATTTGTGTCCCAAAGCAGCTGGAGAACTGACTAAACATGGATTAAAAGAAACCGTTAGAAATAATATTAAAACAAAATGTCTGAATTTTTATATTGAGGCAGTTGATCAGCTACACAAACGATTTCCTTTCAATTCTCGTGAAACAAAAATTCTTCAGTTACTATATTGAGTCCTCCAAATATCAAAACAACGGAAAGTATAGCACCTTTAGCCTTTTGGTTTCCAAATATTGTTAACGATATTAATACTCTAGAGCTAGATTCTAGACATAGAATATAGGCATTTAAAATTTTCTAATTTTGATTTTTCTTTAGATGAGGCTGAATTTTGGAAAGAAGTGTGCAATGCGAAAAGGGGTGATAATAGTCTTATTTTTACAGAGCTTGCAAACTTTGTAAATGTTTTATTTACATTACCCCACAGTAGCGCAAGTGTGGAAGGATTATTTTTTGAAATCAATTTGAATAAAACAAAAATTCGAAACAAATTAGAAATTCGAAACAATGAGTGGAATCTTACACAGTAAAAGATTAATTTCTCTAAATAATAACAGCTGTTTTAACTTTTATGTAACTGAAGATATCATTAATCGGCACAATAATCGCATGTATAAATAAATTTTGATATGTATTATATACTCTATATATACTTTAATATCCAGGACTTTATTTTTTTTTCAATAAGAAAAACAAAAAATACCAAAATCAGGATTTAATTTTAATTTTTTTTCAATAAGAAAAACGTTTTAGTTGATAATATTTTTTAATAAATCCAAAACCTATGTAAAACATTTTTTATTTCTGTTATTGTATGTATCTTGACTAAATATGCGAAAATAAAAAACTCTGGTGATTTTTTGCAAAATCTGGCAACTTTTTGAACAAGTGTCTGGTGATTTTCAGTTTTTTAATCTGGCAATATTGACCCCCACGTAGATTGTTCCACAATCTCGATACCCTATGAACAAAGGAGCTTTCGTATTGGTCAGTTCTGGATGTACACGGTTAGTATGGGAGGCCTATCTGGCAGGCAGATCGCGAGGCGGCATCTTGGAGGAGAGCTCTGAGGAAACGGTCTTATCTGGGCTTAGTAGAGAGTGAGGAAGTCGTGTGGAGAAAAGTACTTCTTAGCCCTAAACAAATAGCCTAGCCTTTTCCTAGCAGCTGACGCAATTGACGAGATGTGTTCGTTCCAGGTCAGATGCCCGGTGATGACTCCAACCAGTCGAAATGAACGACACTTTGGTAAGACTCGGCCATACATCGACATCGCTTTTTGTTCGCCAAGGTACAGTACTGTATTTTGGAAGCATTAAACTGTACAAGATTGTCGCGACCTCAAGCAGTGATAACTTCCAGATCTCTCGCAATAGAGGAAGTGGCTGCTAGACTTCTTTCATCGGAAAAGCTATATACAGGGAAGGAGGTCGTTGATATGTAATAGGAACAGCGCCGAAGCTAAGACCGATCGTGCCACCCTTCTGCAAAGCTTCTCTGGGAGGCCACAGGATGGAAGTTTGCATAAGAGGGCAGCGTGCCACAGCTGATCGAACGCTTTCGTGATATGAAGAGCAACGACATGAGCCTCATCATAAGACTGGATGAGTTTACTCCACAATTGCGAGACGCAAGTTAGGAGGTCCCCTGGGGATGGCTGGAGCCGGGAACCATACTGCTTGTCGCTAATCAAGCCATAACGTTCGAGGTACTCCAGAAGCTTCCGATTTAAGCACCTCTCCATTACCTTACTTATAACAGAGAGCAGAGCTATAGGCCAATACATAATACTTTCTATATCTAAAATTTATCTAACGTAGCTGCTGAATTTAAAAATTTTAAGATGGTTATAGCTAATTTGTCCTCTACTACGACAAATATACCACTGCCAACTTTCAATAAAATGGATTATTAAATGATATTTGAGATATTTAAAGAAGCAGTTTCGATGTACATATCTCAATTAAGTTGTAATTGTGGTAACTTTTCATTGAGATATTATTATGAATATAATTTTCCCATAAATTTTCAGATAAATCCCCCAATCGCAAAGTAGTATAAGAGGTTTGCTGATTCTTTTATACTTTACAATCTGTCACTTACCCTTTTCCACACAAAAAACACTCAAATAATGTACAACTTGAAGGTACACCAGATGCACGCTGTCAGCGTCAAACACACAGGCAAAATGTAAACAGGCAAGCGGGTAGCGAGGTCGACTCAGGTCGGCTTGTCATTATGCCATTGGTCGCTCAAGCACACACGCACATGCACAGTATACCAAACAATTCACGATGATGGCGCCGAATTCGAAATCTGCTGTTTGTATATGGACGCAAGCTTTTTTTCCGCTGACATTTTTGATGAGTTAAACAAAAAAACCTCATATTTACATAAGACGTGTTAAAAATTTGAAAATTGGAGACATCGGAATCCTGTCATCTGTTGTACAAAGACCGATGCCACCCCCATGTAACGGAGAATATACTTATGTGCAGTATGAATCCTATAAATATAAATAAATATGGACAATTATGTCTTTACACTTGCTTAGCTACACCGGCCCCAAAAAAATCAATATTATTATAGTGATATCATGGTTATAGGTAGATAGGGTATCAATTGATATCTCAAAAGTCCCCACATTGTTTATCTGTCAACCGAGGTTCGTTGAAATTAAACTGATCACTTTATTTAATTATTTGTTAAATAATTTGTGAATAAGGGGATATAATATTTTCCATTAATTAAAAAATAAATATTTATTCTATACTATAACATAAGAAATATTTACTGATTATTTTTTGAATAATGGAATTTTCCATTCATTAAAAAGTAGATACATATTTAATGAATATTATATAATAAATATTGAATATAAAATATATAAAAGATATCGATTAAATATTAGTAGAAATATTATAATCCAAATATTTATTAAATATTTGCTTAAGACTACAAACATTTAAATAAGATAAAAATATTACTAAATATTGAATAAATATTTAATCAATATTTAGCTATCGGGGGGATGGTACTACGAATACTTGTTTTCCCACCAGGTGGAATACGTTAAACAATGGTTTTATATAGGAATAAATATAGATTTTGCGGAACATTAAACTTTCATTTAATGAGCACATTGCCGTCCAAGGCTAGATATATTAAAGTCAAATGGAATTACAAATGTTCTCCCAGATACAATTTGCACAAGAAAAGATTCGTAAAATGCAAAGCGCTTCACAGTTCTTGTGTGCATATACCCGAAAGTATTGTTCATGAATGAGTTATGTGGAGTCACGGATATATGTTGTACATAGGAATAGATATGATTCGACGGCACCACAAACTTATTGTTCACATTGGCGTCGTGATGATTTTACTTATATACTAAACCAAACATTTTAAAATACATATTTAAACCAAAGGTAATGTAGACTTAAGTGAAGACTACTACAAAAATATTCTTTTAGAAATAAATAAGGTTGAATACGAATATCTTGAAATGGATACTCATATTATCCAACGTTTGCCTTTTCTGCAATCTGGAAATCTGTCTTGGTTAAAATTCTACCACAGGATATGATGAAGTTCCAAAACTATTTTGTTAGAAATTTCCAACGTAACTTTGGACGCCGTAGTTTCCAACCACCTGTGACATATGTATGAAGTCATCACGCTTTACAGTTTATATTGATTCAATATCCCCTCTGACATCAGGGTGTAAAGTTATTCTGGCACTACGAAAAAAGATGATTGATGCACGATAATCCGTTGTATGAAACACATTGGATACTGTTGTGTTCTTAATGAAAGGAAAATGAATGATTGAGAACGGTCCCTTTGTCGCCCCAAATTGTCCCTTGCCAATTAATCTTGAATTTCAAGGAAAGCTCTGTGCACCAGGCTGGGTCAGTATTTCAGCGCTCTTGACGTTTACATCATCATCATAAGTAATAAGTTGTAGACCCATATCCCAAAGCGCTTTATCTATACCCCAAAAGCCATCGTTCAGATGTAGTTTATGTCAAAGTTAGTTGATAGAGAGAACGTTAGTGTAGGGTAGTTTAAGAGCAGCCTGCCCCAATTGCTTTCGATGACAATTTGAAGGTAGATCTTTTGCCATGATTATAAATGATAGGCAAATGATGCCTGTCCACAATGGTGAAGTGTATTGTTATCGGTAATAAGTTGGCCACTTTACCACGGAGGCGTTATCATGAAAACCTTATGCATGTCCGCTTAACTCATGTCCATGGTAACGTACAACCTCAACTTTGGACAGATTATTTCAAATAGCTTCTGTAATTGAGAAGACGTGTTCGTTCCATATCATGACTTCCTAGTTCTGAGCTCGAAAAAGTTGAAACAAATGCCTTCGCGGCAAAATTCGATCACATATCAGATTCGAATATGCCCTCAGTCATCTCATAGGTTAATCGTGAAGATTCATAGTACTCTCTTAGAAACATGACACTTCACTCACTGCAGCGTCTTCAGGCAGAGATAGAAACAGTGCTGGAGACAACCTATCCCTGCGAAATACCTACATTGGTATTGTGTGATGAAGAGAATGACACGACAGATAGGTTAAAACCGGCGAGGTACACTGAGAAAGCATGATTTTCATTACCCGTAATACATTTTTTAAGTACTAAATAACCAAATTATTCGATTTACTTGGGTTGCGAGGCAACGAGGTGCTTCTATCTCTTTCTAACACTCATGTTGCAAGCTTCTCGCGCTCCTCTCTCGTACACATTACGACGTCAGTGGTATATGGATTTCACTGTATATATATCTATATATCCTAGTTTGTTTAAAGTGCTGTTGAATTTATTTATATGTGTGAATGCGGGTGAGTGCAATATTGTTTCATTATTAGAAATTAAAGTGCAATTTTTGTACACATGATCAAGTGGCCTTATTCAGCTTCAGGTATTCCTTTCACTACTTTCAGAATCTAAAAAACAAAGAATTACTCCTAGTGAATGATAAAACATTATAACTTGGTTCTGAACAAACCGACAAGTAGTTGATAAAACTCACATAAGCTCACAATCAATGAAAATAAAACATATCGAATTTTTTTAGGGTTAATAAATTTCGACGTTTTTATTTTGACTTGAAAGCATCAACTATCAATATCAAATTCTCCAAATTTTTTGATATTTAAGATTTGTCAGAGCTCAGTTATAATCTACCTCATTCAATAAAATGCATTTTGTTTCTTTAATTCCTAAATATTATCCAAATATCCATTCAAATCTAAAAAAAAAATTATTAAAACTAGTCAAACACTTTTACTTAAATTTAATAAATATAATGATAATAATTAAACTGATTTACTTAGATAAGGTCAGCTCATTTTGACAGTTCATTAATTTTAAATAAATTGTAAACGGTTTAAGAAATTTAATTAAACGATTCCATTTTGTTATAGAAATCGGAGTTTAATTAAGCTAATTACACTTGTTAGATGTGACATAGATAATTAAATTTTTTAATTAACCTAATTAAAATTTCAATTAGCTTAATTAACTTTTTTTAGGGTAGTTGATGGCCACTCATCTGAAAAGGGGAATTGCACAAGATGGATGTTTGGGGAGGATTGCAAGGTGACAGATCTATAATAGTGAACATTTTCTTCAGCATAACTTCACCAACTTGTCTGCACTATCAATTCAAATGGTATGTCAGCAACGCGGCCACGTTCTGTTTCCTAAAAGTTAATTTCCATTTATCTTGCACATTCCCCATGTCAGGGACACTCCCTCAACTTACTCTGTAACTTGGAGGCTTGGAGTGGATACCAGCAGTAAATGTTAGAGTTTCGCGGTGTTATACAGGGTGACTTGTAATGTCACGTATTCCTGTTAAGGGGTGATAGATTAAGACAAAAGCAACCGTTTTTATCCTATAATGTCCTATCCAGAAGTTGACCGTTTTTGAGTTATTTAAATTTTATTTTTTTTATTTTTTTTATTCCGATTTCAGACGGTTAAATTTGAAATACAAAAAAACTACATGTTTGATTTTGAGTTTTTTGTTTTCGTTCATAATAAGTAATAAAATGTTGAAAACTTACAAAAGTTTTAAAATTACGCTTTTGAAATGTATGATTTTCTTATTTTTTTACTAACTTATTCGATAAAAAATGGAATTTTCTGTGAAAAATCACCTAGTAATGAAATGTGCAAATTATGTAAATAATATCTCTATCTAACAAGCTTTCATTTGAGGTATAAAAGTTACAACTAACTCAAGTACAAAGATATAACATTAAAAAAGATGAGTGAAGTTGTACGAACGATAATTTCGTAGGATAAATAAAAGGCTTTTATTTTAATTACAGTTTTAATTAATTACACTTCCTTTAGTATTTTACAGATTCTGCTCAAATTGTAATCCCCTGTTACGAATACATGCCCGCATTCTCTTACGTAATTCACTTTTGGTAACTCTAGTTGTTACGCGGCTTTTTATTTGGTCAGCTGCACTGATTATCCTTGTAATTAATTCATTGCGCGTTGGTACGGGCGAAACATCGTACACCAGGCTTTTCATATGTACTCACACATAGTAATCCATCGGTGTGACATCTGGGCTTCTTGCTTGCCAGGCAATGGGCCCGCCTCTGCAAATCCATTGATTTGGAAATTTAGAGTCTAAATACGCCCGTACTAATCTACTGTAG